CTATTAGCAGAAATGGAGTACAGTATACAAAACCATGTTTCCCTGTTTGAATAATTGTGTTGTTGTTAGCTTAGAATGAGTCCTTTATATCTATATAGGGAGTGGGTGTCTTCCAACGGAGGCAGCCATGTTATGTCGCCGTGTTTCTACAGTTGCCCTGAAAGGACAAACCAAACACTGGCTCTAGAGAGCGCCTTTCGCGTTTTACGTAGCAGCCTGCTATAGCAATCGGTGGTTGCTGCCGATGCTGGCTAACCATTTTGTGTTGAAGTTTGAGAACCCAAATTTTGACAAATGGAGGATCATACTTATTATTTAGTTGAAGAAAAGGCAAAGGAGGGTGAATCCTGGTTATCAAAGTCATGGGGTTTGATCCCTGGTGATGCTACGGCCATCCGTGGCCAGGAGTCTAAGAGAGCACAACTGGCCTCGCTCTCTCTGGGTGGGTGGGATGGCCTTCTTTCTCCCCCCATCACTCGGCGTGATTCCTCCGAGCACGTTCGGCTGTCCAATGACGTTGTGTGAGTGGCAGTTCGGAAAGATGTGGTGGCGCTTCACAGGTCTCGGAGAAGGCCTGTGCTAGCCTTCGCCCTCCTAGCGCTGGTGGTATCATGTGTTTGAGGGAGTCCTAACTAGATGGTGGAATTTGAGATGACCAAATTGGGGAGAAAATGGGGGAAAAATCCAAAGAAAAAAAGAAAAACCTGATGGCCACCGTAAGTTCTACTACATGCTTGGAAAGCCTGGGGTGAGTGAGGGGTATTCAGTTGGTTGCAACCTGCAACCTCACCACTAGATGCCACTAAGTCTTACACATTGCATCTTTAAGAGGAACAATTGTGGAAACAGAAATTTTCTCCAAACTATCTTAAATCTATACCGATCTAAGCTGGTCTGGGCTGGTTTGGTACTGGTCTGGTTCTGGTTTAGCTGGTCACCCAGCATGGTCATACCAGCATCCAAAACACAACATATGTTGTTTTTGGTGGTGATCAGCATTTCAGCTTCCAGACCAGAACATATTGCTGCTGTCTGAAGAAAATCTCGTATCTCCATTTTTGTCAGTTTTTGACATATTTTGAAAATACCCGTGGCCTTTACATTGGGTGTAAATTACATGCAGAATGGACCAAAAGAAACAACCCAAAATGACCTGGAAAAAAGTCTGGTTCCATTGACTTACATTCAAAGTAAAGCGTGTTTTTTCCCTCTCCTGTAAAGTTGCCATTTTGGAGATACAAGGTTTATTCCGACAACAGCGATATGCTGGTTTTGCTGGTGACCAGCTTTGCTGTTTTTTTCTAGCAGGGAAATAGGAAGCTGACCCAGGGTCAGCCTTAGTGCGCCGAGCTTTATGGGCCATTCATCTGTCCCCGCCTGTCACTGTGATGTCAGCAGCTCAGCAAGGCTTAATACACCCAACCCCCTCTGGACAAACACTGACAGAGAGAGAGATAGACTCAGACGCTGACGCAGAGAGTAGAAAGAGGAACAGGAACAGTGTCAGACTGACACAGTTATGCTCGTTCCCTTTCTCACTGACCCGAGACCAGCTGCCCCGTCCCAAATCCAAATCTAATCACATTATATACAAAAAAACAGGACTGCTCTCAGGTCAGGGCAAAAGGAGCTACGCTCAACAGCAGGAATCTAACGAGATAGAGAGCGAATAGACGACAGTGACAGAAGTGTCAGGGCCTGGGGTGTGAAATCAACACCTGTTGTCACTTCTTAGGGAGAGCGATGTCTCTCTCTCCCACACAAACACCTCTCCAGCTGTTGCTAGGTCAGGCTAGCATTGTCAAGCGTGCTAATTCTTCGTCACTCTTCCTGACAACAGCCCAGCCAGTTGCCCAAAGGCCTACATGCACATACATGCACCCCAGGACCCCGAACAGGTGCTGAACACGTGCATCGACCACTTGGGGCAGATGCTTGGTGTCTGTGGCTGACCACAACGCTTGCTTGGCCTTCAGGAATCCTCAGGAGCTGAACCTGTTCCAGCAGGTTCCTAAGGCCTAACTGTAGAGCAGTGGCTCCCAGCATTGGTCCTGTAGTTGATTGGCAGTGTTAGCATATGGGTCAGTAAAGAGAACTCTCAAAAATGTAACATAATGACTGCCCTCTTGACCAACACTAATCCATTTTGTCAAGAGCTCTGAACGTTAACATCTGTTAAGATGGGGACATTTGTTTTTTCTGTGTTGAAACAAGAAAAAATGTTTTCCGTCTGTTTTTACCTGAGAAGGTCAGTCATTCAGAGCAGGTTGACGTTTTAGAGTAGCCAAATCAGAACTGTTCACAATGGTGGTGATAGGAACCAGATGTCCATCTCTAAAAGCTCCCTTATAGTAAGCTATCACATGAAAATGATTATAAATACAGTGCTTGATACCTGAGACACTGTTTTGATAGTTTTGAGACGGAATTTTGGCCTAAAACATTTTTAAATCCATTCATGGCGGAGGAGTACATGGTACGTGTTGTGAAGCAAAACAGTCCCCAAAGAAAACTTTACTTTTTCAGATTTAGCACTATTTACCATCATCAACATTACCAATAAAACTCAGAGGATGTGTAAGTTCACTGTTCATTAACAAATAAATGGTTACTCTGGTTCCCATCACCACCACTGTAAAGAAAGAGTCAACAAGTTGCTCTACAATGAGCCATTTCACATCCCAACCATTGAATTATGCAATAAATTTCAATAACTGTTGGAATTCCCTTTTCAGCAATCTCAAATAGACCAGGTTATGTGGTTTTCTGACACTGTATCATGTAATGTAATCCAGAAAGGCAGAAAAAAATACAGGCCTCAAGATGGCTGCTGCTGTTTTTAGCCATGCTAACATACTTCTACCTATTTTTAAAGATTTGGTGTTTCCCCTTGGTTACATGGTGTATCCAACTAATCCTTCCTGAGTAGAATCAGGTGTGTTAGAACAGGGAAAAGAATGAAAATGTGCAGGACCAGTGCACTCCAGGCCTAGGATTTCAGAGCGCTTATTTTCTAAAGCTCTGAAAGGAGGTTCACTGGGGGCATGGCTCCCTCCCAAAATTCATAAGCTGATCTCTGAAAGCAAGAATTTGCAGCCTGCGATTTAAGAAACAATCTTTTTAGGCTCAAAATTGTTTGTTTTTTTTTACTCTTAGCACCAAAAGAAATCAAAATAAGACATCTGAAAAGATTCTACCTTCAAGAATCACTTGTTAAGGCCTTTCAAGGAAATGAACAGTATTACAATCCCCTATTTGTTGCTTTAAGCTACTTTAGCTTGGCCCGTTAGCTTGGCTGGGCAACAAGTTCTTCACAGAGGGGGGAGGAATGTGATAACACAAACTGGTTTGTCATAATGAGTGAATAATCAGCCTTTAGTCACACTGCACATATGGCCAAGGCTGTGAAACGGCATTTAGAATGATCTTGTGGGTGAGTCATCAACTCGAACAGTTCATAAAATGGTGATGTAACAAGCTTAAGAAGGTACTTAAGTAAAGAATACTTGCTGGGACAAAGTACATCCCTGGATTTCTATAGTTGCGAGATGCTAACAGTAGCATGTTACAATCTCAGCATTTGTCTTATTAGAAACTTCTACCCGTGTACGTCCACTCTGTCCAAGCTGATGAGCTAGAGGATGCCTAATACAAACTATGGGCTACAGTTTCAAACTGTATACCAACAAAGTGGAGCTGCAAGGGAGGGGTTTCTGATAAAGTGGCCAGTGTCATGGGAGTCAAAGCTAGGGCTCATCTTCTAAGATTGATCCATTTTGTATCAAAACAGCTATTAAGTATGAGTTACCAAGAGATAAGAGGAGTTTCCAAAACTGGAGTTCAAGAAATGATTAAGATGCAAAGAAAATCAGGCCCATAACAACCACCTGGAACACCTGGTGGACACTAAAACTGTTCCCATCAGATGAACAGCACTTAAAGCTTTCATCTTTGGGAGAAGAGCTCCACTCTTGCTTCAGATCAAATCCACAGGTGCTTGTGTCCATCCTTCCACTGTGAGAAGACAACACTATGGGTCTGAATTGTAGCTGTTCCTCACTGAGGAAATTCATTTGCAAATCAAACAAAGCTGCTGCTGGTCTTCCCAGAAGAATGAACTGACCACACAGACCTAAACATCATTGAATGTGTGTGGAATTACTGGGATTGTACAACCAACTTCTAAGACTGAACTTTAGAGTTTGTGGAAAAATATCCCTGCAGATTTCTTCGAAAAACCAATATAAAGAATGGAAGCTGTAATTAACTGCAAAGGATGGACATATTAAAACACTGACATCATAGCTGTATCCCAATTCAGGGGCTGCATCTGAAGGCCGGTTGTATCACAGCGGCGCGACTAGGCCGTCCCATTTCGAAGGCTCCTTCATACGCGACCGAGAAATGTGCCCGTCTTTTTCAACGGGTGGATCCTTCGCCAGTCAACATATCCCAAGGTTCACTGAGTGCTGGCGAGGATTCGCGAACATGGCGGCATCAGCAGAGGAGCGAATAGCGGCGGAGGAGACGCTTTAAATACAAGTACTGGGTTAAAACTGAAGCAAATAGCTAACGATATAAATGTTAAATACAAAAGCAAAACTTACACCAACGTTTCATTTTGTTTTTTGTGATCTATTTGAAGGATGCAGCCCCTGAATTGGGACACAGCTTATATTTACTTGTTGAAGCTTCTGGGTAGTTTTCTTTTAAATATATGTTTTCTTACGCTGACAAATGAATAAGTTGTACTTAATGGCCGTTTTGTCAGGAATGGGTGGTCTCTGACTTTTGCACAGTTGTGCACCTCCATTATGGACATTATTTGGAAGCCGGCCATCAGCATTACATGGAAACACCTACACTGTTTTGAAAAAGTGCACATTTTAGACATAAATTAAATAAGTAAGCCATGATATGCAGCCAAATATGGGGAGGAAAATGCAGAAGAGGGATGACTAACAGTACAGCACGACACTGCAGTCTCTTTCTGTACATTGTATTTACAATACTATTTTGCTTTAATGCCAGGTAAAAGGATTAAATGCAATACATAAATATGAACATGGTAAGGATTTTTTGTACAAATTTGCATATAACTAATAGCTGAAATTAAAACTCAAACGGATACAGACACTTTCACTCCCAGGCCAACACAAGACTCACTCTCACACACACACACACACACACACACACACACACGGGTTTGTTTATGGGCGCTTGCAAAAACTAAGTCATCATTCACACTCATTCTCAAAACGCTGATACTACTGCTGTGTTTCAAATGTTAAACCTTCGCTGTAATACTATCTGCGTTACATGGGGAAACATTAGTTGGGGTAACATCATTTTTACCGCTGTTTCTCAGCAAATTAGTCCAGTCTGCATCCGATATATCTCAGGAAACATGCTGACACCTTTTACCAACTAAAAAGATACAAAAAGCTGAAAGTATGAATTGCCATGTCAGTAAAAATGCTAAATACTTTTTGGAAAAGTGAGTTTTCGAGCGCTACTTTTCGTAAGAAGCATTTACTTCTCGGTGGCACAAATCAAGCCAATATATACCGTCCCACCTCAAAGTGTACGATTCCGAACATTATAACACGTAATATTACAGAATTTTTCCATTTTTGCGACGTTACTTGTAAATTTTCAAGCTAATGACAATGCTAAAGACATTCAATTAAGAGAATACGGTAGATCAAATTAAATGTTTTGACACGTTTTCTACTCTTCATAACATTCAGAACATCGGTCACATTGCAGACGTCCTGTGGTAAAACTGCATCACCCCACCTCCCCATTAAAACTCGTCCCATCTGAATGGTACTTAAGGAAGGTTAGCTTTTCTTTTTCGGTCGAAACTCACATGTAGACACGCTCAGTCTCTCACACATACAAAAAACAAATAAATGCCTAGATAACTCCACTCAAATGACAAAAAAAATAACAAAAACAACCCCGTAGTATCTCTCCATTGTAATAACGACAACAAGGCCAGCCAGCCATGGCCACGAACAGAAGTTCAGGTTGAACGTTTGTGGTGAAAACGAGAAAAGAGTAAAGGCTGCACGTGCCGTGACAGAAGCTAACAAGAGAACGCTAACCGCTAATGCTTTGTGAGGAACTTCCAGTGAAAAGAAAAAAGGTGAGACGTCACAGTAGCATGTTCACATTACGGAATAATACGAAAAAAAAAAAACCCTACAATGGATGACTGATAGGCAGCCTTGACGTTGGAACTTGATCTGTGTGACTTTAACGCTTTTTTTGTTTTTTTGTGGATAGCACACTTGAGTGGAACACCAAGAAAAAAAAATCATATTTATATATATGTAATAGCCTATAGATCCAAACGTAGATCCGAAAATTCTGGGACATGCCCCCTTTCGAACGTGTATACATTTGACAACAACCGCCTGTTCACATCCACGCAACACTACAGTACATGGCCACAATTTGGCACAAAGCGTCCGCCACAGAGGCAATGAGGGGAAAAATAAAAGGTACGGTTTCCTGAAAGGTGTCCTGATCTACGCTTTAGGAAAGACGAAAAAGAAAAACATGGAGAAGAACCAGCACACACTCCGCAGCAGATGAGAGAGCGCAAAAGGAAAGAAACATTAATAAGACAGAAGTTCATTCATGCATCATCCTCACACAGGACAGTTGCCCCCCGCCATTCTTTCTCAAGGTTGTGATAGAAAAAGTCCGTTAATCACGTAGCCGCATTCTTTTCTCCGCTCGCTTCCTCTTCTAAGCAGCTCTCGTTCTTCATCCCTCTTTCCCTCCCTCCTTGCGATGAAGATGACTGTGCTTATATTCTCTGGATTTTGTCTGCCACCACCACGGGGTTTTCCTTGCGGATCTTGGCGGCCGCCTCCGCTTTGTAGTCGTACGTGCAGTTGTGTTTGTCCGAGTACCGGTGGATCCCGCAGAAGAGGTTGCCGCATCTGCAGTCAAAACCTGGAGAAGACACATCAAAGCATTCTTTTAATATCATATAAGCATGTTTACCCACCTGTTTAAATTCTTTTACCAATTATATTCTAAAAGAACGTGCATCAAAATATGATATAAGAGCTTTTCTGTTACTGTGTCACCTTAACCTCTCTTCATCTCCTAGAATTAAACACTATTATGACTGATGTGTTTTAATGTGTTCTGACTGCCTGAGCCTCATTCAAAAAACAGGGCTGAAACACTCCTTATAACTTCATTTGAGATGAATATAAGTAAATATGTTTTTTGAAATCACAGCGACAATTAATTCAAAACAGGCTTTTTTCGTAGCTTAGTTTCTGTTTATGGGCTGTATGGACTGGGGATTGAATCGTGGGTGTTGTGTTCACTAATGTGCATGGTATGTGGGTGTTTCACTGCACGGATGGGTTAAATGAATGCAGAGGTCAAATTTCTCTATGTGCAAGCACAGTTGGCCAATGGTCCTTAACTGAACGTAGTACAAGGTTTAAACCTAGGCTTCATTGTGGCTTTACCTACTCTCAAGAAAATATCTTTAACAACAGCCACGTTTACATGCAGCCTGATAATCCGTTAATAATCTGACTAACAGCTCAACTGGAAAAGAATAGGCCCATGTAAACAGCTCAATTGCAACAGACTAGTCCGATTGAGGCAATTCGGAATACAATTTCTGACCGAATAAGGTGGGTAATCCTGTAAATAATCCGTTAAATAGAAGAATAATATCCGTGTGAACGCCTACATCCAAGTACATTCCCAATCGGAAAGTTTAAGTATGTTCTGATCATGTTCGTCGTGTCATAGTGAAAGTTTATAACGTTCAACATAGCGGAGCAGAAACTGGTCTGCAGAGGAGACGAAGTTTATGCTCTAATCTTTAAAAGACGGCGGTGGGACGGACATCCAGCTTATGTGTCTCAGAACACGACGTCTTCCTCTCGGCCTTCTTTAATGAGGACATGTGAAGGACGTTTAAAATGATGTCAGATGCAGTAAAAGTAATTAAAAACACAAGCACTGCTCTCTGCTGCTCGCCTCACTCTGGCTGGACTCACGTGATGCTCCTTGTCATGGTAACGTCTACACTAAGTGGTTCTCTGCGCATGTGCATAATTTTGGATCTGATTACTTGTAGTGAGCATGTAAATGGAGATTTTATATCAGATTGTTGAGTAGAGTGAGTCTTAATCTAATATATATATAATCTGTATGTATTCAATCGGATTGGCAATAAGTCTTTACATGTAAACACAGCCAGTGTTAGCAATCTACTACATCAAATTCTTATATATCTAAAATACTATTTCCATGATATATGCAAGAATTCACTTTCATAGTCAGCCCCCTTAGCACAAATATAGTTGGTCAGTGACATGTTTGGTTAATAAGTATTAATAAAGTCAGTAATAGCTAAGTAATAAAAGCTTTAGGATATTAGCATTACGCAAAACGCATGCCTGAAGCATCACACACTTGCTATAAAATTGGACAGAAGTATGTTAGCATAGCATGAATTTTGTCTGTACAACAACGGCAAATAATACACCAGAACACAAAAATTTGATTATGTGTAGGAAATTAACCCAAAATAGCTGATATTTGTTGATGACTGTAGCATCTTACACTGAAAATCATGTTAAATGAAAGGTTTAAGCGTAAGAAAAGATATATACTTCCAAAATTCTTTCAAGAAACTACTGTTACAAATGAATAATACTTTGTAATAGTTTTGAGAGAATGAAATATTGTTATCCTGATAAACAACATGATACATATATCATGGATAACATCAGTATGAGTACTTAAAGAACACTGACCAACTGCATGTTTCATTAAAAACAGAGCATCATTACTCCTGTTTAACTGGATTTAGTGCAGTGCAGTTTGGGAACTGTCGAATAAAAGCTGCTGTGCCCAAATGTGGTACTATTGTGTTTATGAGGCAAAATACTGTGATATGTATTGTGTATCATGATATGCTAGTTTTGCCATATCGCCCACCCCTAGTGTAACGATTTCAATGCAGTATTGAGAATCTGAATTTGAAACACAATGAAGTGTTGAAAAAAAAACTATATCACCGGTGCGCCCCTTGGTCTTTTCCGAAGGGTTCCTCATTTACCATCTTTCGTAGATGCATCCTAAGTGGGCAGGGAGGGGCGGGGCTTACACTGTGTCCACAATCACGTTAAAATTATTGGGCTTTTTTCCCCCCAAAGTCACTTCTAGATTCTAGCAGTAGCAGTTTGAGGACACTCACCTGTCAGTCCCACCCTCTTGCGGCAGGTGAAGCAGCGGTTCTTTTTGGGCTTGGAGGCGTCTGGACTCTTTCCCTCGTCGCTGGCCTGAGCTACGGCCACTGGCGAGTAGGAGGAAGTGGGCTGGGTCACGACTGCGGAGACAGGAAGTGCAGCAACAAAATTACTCCAGAATACAAACACAGTCAGAACTGAAGGCTGAGAGATTTTCCTTCAACATGTCTTTCAGTGTTTCAGTTTGTCTGGTTCTGGGAGCCGTTAAGTGTCTGCACGACGTCTAGAGCTGGAGGCTGAACTCACGGTACGACTGTAATTTCACAGTCGAGCCCAAAACCACAGACTTCTCACACCCACAGTCAGACGACAGAGGAGGAAGAGAAAAAGAGAGAGAATAAAGACGTACTGACTGAACGAGTTAAAGAAGAAAGACAGACAGAGGAAAAGCAGAGTAAAAGACAGACATGAAGGACAGGCAGATGAAGAAAAAAATAGATAAAGAAAAAGATAAAAGAAACAAAAGACAGATATTGTAAACACACAAAAGAAAACCAGGCAGAAAAAGACAGACAAGAAGAAATATAAAGATAAAACAAAGGCAGACATCAAAGAAAGACAGAAATAACGAATAACAGAAAGACAGACAGAAAAGGAGACAGTAAATGTACAAAAGACAGACAGAAAGAAAAAAAGTGATAAAAGACTGCCGGAAAAGACAGAAAAAAGATAAAAATAGATAAAGAAAGAAAAAGAGAAAAAATAAACAGCAGAAACACAGAATGAGAAAGAGCAAAAGAAAGACAATGAAAGACTGACAGAAAGAGAGAAACATAAATTCAGATACAAATAAAGAAAGTTATAAAGGAGAAAAAAAACGACAAAACATGAAGACAGAGAAAGAAATGCAGGAAAAAGATGGACAGAAAAACAGACAAAGAAGTGTAGTAGCATGGAAAAGAAAAAAAAACCATCAAAAAGAAAGACAAAAAAGGAAAGAAAAACACAGATAGAAACACAGGAGCATAAAAGACAGAAACACAGAAAGAAAGACAAAACGAAAGAAAAAAAGAAAACGAGAAGAAAGAAATAAAGAAAAGAGAAAGCCAGAAAAAGAAAAAAGAAAGAATGAGACAGAAAAAAAGAAAAAGAAAGAATGGAAAAAAAGAAAAAGAAAGAATGGAGAAAAAGAAAAAGAAAAAAAAGATGGACAGAAAAACAGACAGAAAAAATGTAAAAAAAGAACAACAGACAGACAGAAACATGGGAGCACGGAAAAGACAAAACACTCAAGAAAGAGAAGAGCTAAAGAAAAACAAAGTAAGAAGCAAGAAAGACAGATGGATGGACGGACAAGAAGAAGAGGGACAGAAAAAGATGGACAAAGACAAAGAAGAAAGAGAGAGAGAATGGCAAAAAAAAAAACAAAGAAAAAGGACAAACAAAGAGAGAAAGACAGAAAAACACGGCTCCATCACAGCTGAATCTGCAGCCTCGACTCTCGTTTCCACCAGTCTCAGACTGCAGCTTTACACTCGTCTGTATCTGCTCTGTTAAAGGTGCTGTTTGCTCTGTGAGGCGTCCGTTACTGAGCGGCTGCTTTGCTGTATAAACGTGCTACAGACTGAAAGTGAGCGGTTCTGGCTCTGTGTGATCTGCTGTCAGACCTCTGGCCAAACACCAGATATTTATGACCAAACCTGGAGGCCTTTAAACCTGCCTGGACACGATTCTCAAACTGAAGTGAATCAAACTGCAAATGCACTAGTATACAGATAATAACAGAACACCAACATAACAGGGAACCATCTTCTTCTTCTTTAGCTGTTTTTTCGGGCCGTTTTTATCACGTGTTGACATCAAAACAAGCGGAAATAAGTCAGGACTGCAAACTGGAGCCTTAATGTAAATGGAATTAATTGCATAACTTAGTAATTGTTATGCGATTATATTTAAAAAGTATGTCAAACCAACATATATATATATATATATATATATATATATATATATATATATATATATATATATATATATATATATGAAGTTCAAGTTCATGTTTCTGCATAATTCAATGGTTGAGATGTAAAGTCATTGAGGACGGTTTGATGTGAAATGGTTCACTGTAGAGAAACATGCACACTCAGATTTCTTTACAGTGGTGGTGAATGGAACCAGGGGTCACCATGTCTACAACACAAATACAGCCAGTTTATTTGCTATACAAAATGACCAGTGAAATACTTGTATCGAAGTTTCTCCTGAATTGTTGTATATAATTGCTGTATGTAATGTCCAGCAAACACCTCTCTGCCACGAATGCGTTTTGAAAACAGATTTTAGGCCAAAACCTCACTGTAAACCTCATGGCAGAGTATCCATAACCATTTTATGTAACAACCTTCTGTGAGGAAAATTTTAGGCTACGTTCACACTGCAGGTAAAAGTGGCCCAAATCTGATTTTCTCACCAAATCGGATTTTATTTGTTTGGCTGTTCACATTATCTTTAAAATGTGACCTATATGCCACATTCGTTAGCATACGCAAAAGAACAACGCTTCACACGGCGCTCTCATCCAGAGGTAAACAACCATGACTGCCAATTTCTGACTACAGGTTTCTCTAGAACAAACCACTCTGAATGACTTTGATTACATCTTAACTATTAAATTCAAAATTTCTGCATAATTTAACGAGTAAGACGATCTTAAAAAGTTTTGGAAAACAGTTTTCACTCTATGTGTTTTTACTCTATTGTGACTATTCTTGAGTTTCCTGGAAGCGAACAGAGCCAATTCAAACCAGGGTAATAACAGAGCAATCAGTCCTACCACGACAACGTCTGAGAAGTGAGCTGAACCAACGTGTAATTACCTGGTTCCACAGTGTCCGGTTTGGGAGATGGGTTCTTCTCCTCTCTGGAGATGCTCATCTCCGTCATCTGTTGCGTTACGGGCAAGGAGGTCGCAGGCATGTTTCTGCACAAAACAGCACAAGGTCTTATGTTTTCTGCACCCGTACTGCTGCCAAAGGGTCAGAGCACCTGACCACAACTTATTCAGAGATGCTCAAAGCCAAGAACACCAACAAAAGCATGTGTGTAGGCAACATGTATGCAGGAACCCACCCACACATTAAACGAACATACTATACAACTGTCTTAACATTCAATAATAACTGTGAAAATAGCTCCTTCAAGTCACTTTTGAGTGACCATTGAGAATAGTTTTAGGCAAACGTCAGATCACCCTTCATTTATTTCATTTACAGCCAAAGCAGCCTTTAAGAACAAATTATTCAGAAAACATATTTAACAGAAGCCTCAAAAACTAAACAGTATGAATTTTTTCAGTACTAATCTAACCAGATTTTGCCTTCATTACAGTTTTCATTCTTTTTTAGGAGTCGCACGTCCATCTTTTGAAGAAATCTAAGAAACCTCCAAAGTGCAGTCTTAGAAGTTTCCTTCTTCTCTATATCCACATAATCCCAAATGCATTTAATGATTCTTAAGTCTGTATTCTGGGGTGGTCAGTCTATTGTTCTGAGAACAATAACACCAGCTTCTTTGTTTGACCTTTTTTGTCCATTTCCTTTTCACCATAACGGCTTGTTGACAGATACACATCCTTTCAGAAACACCTGAAGATTTTTTTCAGATCTGAACCAAGAGTGAAGCTTGATTTTCTCCTCTCTCTCAAAGATGAAAGCTTTAATTGCTGTTTATCTGATGGGGACAGTGTTGGTGCTTACCAGGTGTTCCAGGTGGTTGTTAGGAGTCCCATTTTCTCTGTAGCTTTTAAAAATTTTGAACTTCAGTTTTGGATTAAACTTAACTTACATTCATTTGATTTTCTCCTTCCTTATGCAATTGGGTTCTCTTGTATCTAGTCTCCTCTGAAATATCTGCTGAAAAATGAATAACTACTTAATGGCCATTTGGACTGGAAATTATATAAATGAATGCTGGCCTCTGACTTTTTGAGTAGGTTTTCTTTAATTATTCTGAATCGTACAAAAACAAACCACAAATTTCATGATTTTCTTGATTCCCTGTATCATCAAAGAACTGTAATAGGATCAAAGAGAAGCACACAACTCACTCTCTCATCGACTCTGTGTTGGCTGCAGGTGAGGGCTCTGTTTTGTTTAGGCTGGCTTCTAGTCTCTGGATCGCTGAGGCCTCCGACGAGGGACTGCCTGCTGCTCCAAAAAAAAGAAAAAAAACATACAAGCAACCAGTCACATCTTCACCCTGTAACAGCCGGACAACATCGCAAACAGCTGGACTGCATCACACATACAAATCATAACAGTGAGATTTCATCATAACAAAGAAAAATGGGAATTACTGTGTTGTGTTAAGGGGAATTTTCAAAATTTCAACAAAATTAAATGCTTGTGAGGTAAACAAAGCTATTCAGACTGGTTTGATGTGAAATGCTTCACTGTAAAGAATGCGATGCAAAATTCAAATCAAAAAATGCAAATCATTTTATTTCCTGTCCAAAATCACCAGTGAACCTAAATGTGTTTTCTGAGTTTTTATATGTGATGTTCATGATGATAAATTGTGGAAAATCTGAAATTTCACATATAAAAGGCTTTAAAAAGAAAAGAAAAAAAAATACATTTTAGGCCAAGGTGAGGCATTAAACTCTTCAGACGTCTGGTTCCTATAATCACCACTGTGAACAATGCTGCCTGTAAGTTTGTCTAGATTGAACCATTTCACATCAAACCACTTTTTCCACATTTTAACAATCTACAGAAATGTTATTAAACCAATTCCTTTTAAATTGGTGACTATAACCTATGTAAAACTGTAGAGTTTAGCTAGCTTGGCAAGAAACTTTTATAAATAAAAAAAAAAAAAAAAAAAAAAAAAACAACAAAAGCAAATGGGTACAGCAACCACGCTAAACAAGTCTACAAATAAGGCCTAAAGCCCTTTCCAAACCCTAGTTCTGTGCCCACTTGAAATATTCAGTAGGTTCAACTCCGCTTTGTAATGCTCTTAGAAATTACATAATGTGCTTAGGAACCATAACAATCCTCTGAAAACACTGTGAAGGTTCCAAATAATCATAACTGTTTGTGCAAAAACAATAGAAAACAACAGGCCAAAGCTGAGCTGACCCAGAGGGTTGCATGGCTTACCCAGAGGGCTCACAGGACTGCGGTCACTGCTTTGCTGTCTGCTCAGGTGCTCCTTATAGCAGACGGAGCACATCCCGTTCGTCCTGGGGTTGCCGTAGAAACCGCAGCCTGTGGTGCACAGGATGGGTACTGGACTCTGATTGGTCTCCTGGGCCATTGCTGCTGATACGACGTGGCAGTCGGAGAAAGTCGAAGTTCAGAAAGCTCGGGTTATAGTCTGGACTGAGAACACATCGTGGACAATGTCTAGGCCAGTGGTCACCGACCCTGGTCCTGGAGATCTACCTTCCTGCAGAGTCTAGGTCCAACCAGCTGCTCCAGCAGTTCTTGATTGGCTGGATCAGATGCATTAGTGTTAGGTAACAGGGGACAGCATGTTAAGATGCAGGTTGGAATTAAACTCTGCAGGGAATCAGACCTCCAGGAGGAGAGCTGGTGACCACTGGTCTAAGCCAATGGAGGACACTAAAACTTTTGTTTGAAATATTGTACTTTTATAAATGTTGAATACTCTAATAAACTGAACAATGAAACTGTTACATTAGGGACACTTTCAAGCACTCTATTTCAGCTGTATTGAAAAATGTATTGAATCGAGACACCAATGATTCATATCTAACTGAACAGTGAATCTTACGAATCCTTACACCCGTAATAAACACAAATGACTTGAAAAAGTAGGTTTTGGTCTAACTTTCTTCATGCAAAGCCTATACTAAGCATTCAAGATAGACTTAAAGCAACTGGTTTCCTCAAACTGTTTGTGTAGCTCTACCCTGAGGTGTTTAAAACCTCGGATGAGAGCACTCAAAGCACTGTTTGCTACCAGCACGTAATTAGGGCACATTTGTTTTACTTCAGGCATACAAAAGAGACAGTCTGGACACTCCACACTGCATCCTTAAGCTTACAGTTAACTATCTGGGTCAACCACCTGACCAAATTAAGGCAAGTCTAACAGGTCAGTTTAGGTCCACATATGAGTAGCTATGGCTCCAGATTCCTCCAACTAATGTGTGTTGCATTACAAAGAGAGCATAATTAGCTCTGTTTAACTGGATTTAGTTCAAAGCAGCCTCTGAAATGGTAAAGAAGACCACTGCACTCTCTTTAGATAGTGTTTAGATATTTTATGAATGGCACTACTGATTATTTTTCAGTCTGTTCCAACTTATCAAACGTCCAGAAGTATTGCCCACCACTAATTCCCATGCTGATGGATGTTGGAGGCATGACAGTTTCAGTGCAGACCTACAAGGAACTCAAGACTTAAGGTGTTGGACCTGATAGTTATTCACTCCTACTCAGGATGTTTTTGGTAGCTACTATTACTTCAACGTCATTACTTCCTTGATGTAACAAGACCTTTCATTGAGTGTGGTTTTATGCTCCTCTGCCCACCTTTGTTTATAACAAACCGGATTGTAGCTTACGAAGCTGTCTTGCTTCACAGCTGAGGTAATATGAGGGGGTGTTTGGAACAAGTCTCTGCTGGTTTCACGTCCGAAACAAACATGATAAGCTAAGTTTCAGTGTACAAGCTGACCCCTTGTTTATACAGTGCTCCCAACAAGTATTGGGACATTTAGCCATTGGTAAACTTTAATGAAGTTCTTTAGGTAGGTAGACTGAAGAAGACTGCACTAAAGCACAAAGATGGAGATGTCTGGGACTGCAGACGTAGGCCTACCACTACTGGAATTGTAGTCCAACACTGATATCTGATATTTTTCATGTATATATCAGGCTATGCTGACACATTATGTGTTAGTATGTGGTATTTATTGCATATGGATTTACAAATGTAGTCAATTTTAGCATATCCGCCTACACTTTCAGGCCTTTCGAGGTACAATCAATACAGCTTGAAACATCGGTCAAATGTCAACATCTGTCTGATACAGATAATGCTTTTTCATGTTTTTTAATATCATCACGCATCCCTACTTACAGTGGTGTCAGTATACAAGGGTATTTCTGGAAACACAAGCCATATTCTGAAAGAATACTTTGCCAGAAGAAGGCTCGTCAATGTATTGGGTCTGTTTAAAATAAATGCCACTTGGCTTCACGTTTTGTCTCCTAACACAATGAACTTTTTGCAGTATGGCACAAATGTCCAAATACTTTTTGGACCCACTGTATGTGTGGGTGGGCTCCTTCGACGTGGTTTAAATGGGAAAAGACTGAACCGTTAGTGTAGAACAACGGCACTCTTGTCTCGCGCACGCCACGTTCACAAAGAAAACTTCACGCGAGTGTCCACGCGCGACACCAACCAACGGCGTTATAACGGTCTCCTCTCAGGGATCCATGGCTTATGCTGAATGAGGTCCGAATATCTGACAGAAAAGTCGTGACTCTGAGTATTAATTCGCAATTAAATCCACAGAAAATAAAAAAAGGTAAACAAATTCACCGAATAACACAACTTAGTGCTATTTGTGTGACGATAATTGGTCGAAAATCAAGACGTAATGTTAGCTAACCCGCTAGCTGCTTACTCATCCCGACCAGCTCGGTCAGAAAGACCCCTGGAACTAACCAGAAGACCCCAGATAAGGTAAAGTTGTGGCCAGACGAGGCAGGATGGAAACCCCAGTGTTTTCAACACAAAATCCCTCAACGTCAGGATGTTAAAAACGACACAAAGTGGTTAAAGCTAGCATAAAAACGGTGAATCGCTATACAAAGCGAGTTTGGTCTTTTTTTTCTTTGTCTATGCCGTGATAGCTATTAGCAGCAGCTAGACTTCCTCTTCTTCACCCCAGACAAACAAGCTCTTGTCTATTCTAACCCGAACGAGCTAAAGCTAATGTTAATGCTCGAACAAAAAGCTAGTCTGGTCAGCTAGCTAGCTTTGTGTTTCAGTGAAAGGTTTCTTCAAACGTCTGTCCTGAACAGGGGCTTCAATGGCTAACCAGCCAGCCAGACTAAAACAATAGGCAACCGTCAATGTGAGGTAGGTGAGGTAAACATGTTTATTACCTGGCCAACGTACAGACACAGTCTGCGTCTACACAAACTAGGGGTTTTAACGACGACCCGTTGAACAAACTGGACATTTTTGAGGGCGAAACCGTCGACTAGCTGCCTACTGATAAGAAACGAAGCGACAAAACTGGATTAAAGGTAGGTTTAAACGGCTAAACCGGATGTTTAGCAGCTGACTGCGCTGCCTGCCTGGGTCTTCGCCCAGGCAAGTCACGTTCAGGGGATTGTGATGGTAGTCCTGCCGCTGACAAGTTGGAGGTACTTTGCTTACCAGTTTAAAAGGCTTCCAAGGACCCACCCGTCGAAAAATGTCATGAGCTACAGCTAAACAGTCTGAAGATACAACCTACTTTGTCTAAACGCAGGTTAAGTACAACACACGTCAGCAAAGGTCGTTAATCTGCCTTGTCTTCAACATTCACAGCCATCCTTCCTTAAAAATACGTTAAAACGTGTTATTTGTCGTCGACGCTTACCTCAGTGTATTCTTAACTTCCAAAGGCGTCGATAAAGGTAAGTTAGAGCCAATAGTTTTTTGGGAAAGTGGCGAACGCTGCTCCTTTTTTTTTCCAAGGGCTTTGTGTCGGCGATAGCGATAAACGTATTCCCCTCTCGCCCTTTCCCGAGCTATCTCTTCTCCTCTCTTCTCTTCTTTCACTCTGTTTGTTTCCTTCTTTAGTAAGAGGAGGGGCGTGCGACGTCACCTTGCGCAGGAGGACCCCTATTGGTCACACAACATCCGGGGGTGGGGCGGAGATGTGAGCAATGCAAGAAAACAAGCAATGCTCTTTGCCACCTAGGATGACTAATGCAACAGTAATACCCAGTTGCGTTTAACTTTGTGTAAGCAAATTACAGCGACCACATCTGCATCATGAAAGACCGTGGACATGGACGATGGACCGTCTTTTCGACGTTTCATGCCATACCTGAAATGCTGGCCACTTGAAAATGAAGCAAGCTTCTTCTAGGCCTATTTCAGACTGTATGTTGTGTGGTGATCTTTGTTCTTGTGCAACAGTCCTTCACCTGTCTTGGCCTTGTTGAAAACACCTGTGGGCGTCTGTCTTTCGCGGAGTTCATATTCTGTTCAGTACGTATTCCTCTTACAGCCCCAGGATGTTGTCTGTCTTCAGGTGTCTTGTGAGACAGCCACCACTTCACGTGTTTCTGCAGTGCCCACAGGGCTTCTGCACTTAACTGAGGCCTTTAATACAGTGTGGGGACTCCTCTATGTGGGATTCCTCTGAAGTGGTGTAACCACATGCTGGGATCCTCCACACTTTTGCAGGTAGAGAAGAGTGGATGTGTGTGTGTGTGAAATGGAGAGATAGAGAAGGCAGGAAACAGGAAAGAGAGTTAAAAAAAAATCTGGTTGAACTAGTTACGGCCTGTTACTGTGATGGTTCATGTGTGTTTTGCTTTTAGAGCATTGTTGGGATATACCAGCTCACTTCTCACGAACATGAGACAGTTCTGAAAAGTGTCATTTGCAGATAAGATAGAATACCTTACACCACACACACACACACTTTTGTCTACGTAAAAGGTAGGACACTTCATAAATGCTAGCATTCTTTGATGTTCTCATTGAATCCGTTTCTTTGTCACGGTGGCTCTGAAGCTCATGACCGCTGTGATCTTATTTGCATGTCAGGGTCGTGTTCCTCAAATAGCGCCCTCCAAACGGGCAGCTTTGTGCCTCCCTTCAGAGCTTCTTTGCATATTATTTGCCTTCTTTCCTTCTTTCTATGGCAAACAGGTCACTGTGTTATCACTGTGTGATAGTTCTTATGTTATTTCTGTATATGCAGTGTATTTCTCTCATTTATATGCAATAATGAGTTGTTGATTACACATGTCTTAGGTAAATTTGACTTTGGATGAAACTAAATGGAATCTGATTGACAGTTTTAGTAGCACGGTAACATGTAAATGACCCCATTTGGCTTTAACATCTATTTACAGTACAAACAAGAAGAATATTTACCTCATATCTGCATCAATGCCTGTTTGTTTCCATCTTTACTTGTTGAGCAGCTCTTCACACAGCCTTGTACACCTGGTAGGCCACAACTGACATTCATTATTTGAGAACATTCACCCTCTGGACATGCAACTGTATTAATGACAGTTATCAGTATTGAAGTTGAATTAATGTGTAATTCTAAAGGACCATAATAAAACACCACTATGACCCCTCAGTAACAACATAGCACTGATTCCATATCAGACTCCATATGTGATTAAACTTGAGTCAGTATGCCTATGAGCAGCTGTTTCCCAAGGGAAGTGCTTTGTGTCTTTGACAATGACATATGTGAATAGATGTTTCCCTACATGCACTGAGTCGCAAAGGCACGTGCACTGTTTTAACTCCACATGTTCTCACAGGCACTGCAGTCTCTGTACTGACACCTCCACCCAAACACACACACATACACTTACTTATCTCTTTGGCTCCCCCAATTTATTTTGACTACCTCTCCACCCCTCGCCACATCTTTCCCTCTCTCTCTCTGTCTCACTTGCTTTCACTCGCGTCAGCTCCCACCCTCTCTGCCCCCTCACCCCACCTCTTTTCTTTTAAAAAACGTGAGTCTCTATGCAGTAACAGCCCCTGTGTCTCTGGAGACCAGCAGTCTTGTTCTCAGAAGTTTCTAAGGAATGAGAATCATTCTGCCCAGACTGTTACTGTAGTCACATTGCTTACTCTTCCACATTTCCACTAATTTTTTCAGTATTTTCTGGGGAGATGTATATACACAGCGTACTCATATAAGATCTGAAACCAAGATTGTCTGAGCTTCAGCCCAAACATGCGCAAACACATGTGCTCCAATGCTGAATACCCTTCTGATTGCTGTTTTCTTCTCTTTCTCTCGCTATCTTTGTCTCACTCATGCACACTCGCGTATACCCTGACAACTCAACACCTATGGGCCCCTGACATACATACCCCATGATACATGTACAAGTCATCATATTAAGGTTATGATTACCCTATTACAACACAGTTAAGCTTCTTTTTTCCACCTTTTATAGGTAAAAACCTATAAAACTCGCCAGATCCTGATTCAGAAGGTTCATAGTAATATGCAGTCAAGAGTTTTCCTTACTCTGTCATCCTTGATTCACATCATTAATAATGAATCATGAATAATCTAATCATGAATACCTTGATGAGTTGAACGATGAATGTTGTAGCAGGATAAATCACTTCATTGCACAATGCTCTGGCTTTCCAAGACTAAAGTGTGACACAGGTGCTCTAGCGCTATACGCCTTGTGAATGAGAACTGGCAACAAAAAAACACCAAAATACCTTTCAGATATTCAGGACTCTTTTACCTCATACATACATGGTTACAAGTATTTTTACAGGGTGTTATTATAAAGTTCACAGTGCCTTCAGTTCCACACAGTTGTAATTGTCAGCCTCAGATTAAGTTTTGAGTCACTTATATTGTTGGCAGCAAGGTCCACTGTGGTCTATGAGGCCATATAAGAACAACACATTAACATAGGTAATGTTTATTCAGATTAAAAACTTTGGGATATTGTTTGCAGACATGGGTTGTTGAACAAATGTAGATAGCTGATAATCTTTTTACTATTTCTTTTCTTTTATCTGATGACGTTGTTGCTAAATAACATTGTGAGTTAATTTAGTAGATGATATTATTAGTCATGTTAAGTAAGTCATGTTTCTTTTGGTTTCTTGTTGACAGTTGGGTTTGAATTCAAACCCTGGTGCTGTGGGTTGGGTCAGACTCAGGCAGAATGTTACTGGGTTATATTTGGGTTTAGATCAAAATTTCAGGCCAGATTAAAGCTGTACAACCCCGTCGTTCCATATGAAGGTTGAGTGCAAGGGGACAAGTAAGGAGGGAAGAAGAGAAGGTTTCAGAAGATCACTGGAATACAACCTGACAGTTCTTCTGTCATCAGTTCTCAGTACAGCCGGAGGAGCTCTCTGACACGTGCACAGATGAGACCCTGTCAAAATGCAAGTTGCAACCTACCGTCTCGTCAGAGAAACATTTCAGCCAATTACTCCTGTTTGTCAAACGATGATGGGGGGTGGTCGCTTCGTGGAATTTTTGACAAAACCTGCCAAGCCTTACTTGTTTTGAAACAACAGTGGTTTTACGTGTTTGGATCTACTGTGTCATTTGGGGTGCTGTTACAGAACAGATGTCAGAAAAGTGTTGATTAGAACAGCTGGATTGTAACATGGTTTGGTGTAGCTGTTTAGTCACGCTTCTGTTGAATTGACATTTAATTTTCTATCTGTCGAATAGAGTGGCGGCAGACCTAAAGACTGATCTTTCAGTGGTTGTGTAGATGGAAAAATAGGGGGCTGGAGATAAAACACAAGGAAAGAGAGAAAAGAAGAGACAAAAATAGGAAGAGAGGTAACACTTTCAGCTTACAGTCATAGTGTGGAGTCCCTAAATTATACGCCTAAAACAATCTAGCATTCAGCAGGACTGAGAACAGTGAATGCTACCCCAAACACGCGTATACACTAAGTAGCACACATGGCCTTGTGGTATATCTAAGGTACACTGTGGCATAGTGTGACTTGCTGGAACTCTTTGGTAATTACACAGTACAGAGGAATCAGCTGCCACTCTCTAGCTCCACTGGACAGACCTGCCTGGCTGAGAACACAAAGTGGGATTGTTAGCGCTGTGTGTGTGTATGAGAGAGAGAACATGGACAAAAGAGTTATAAACATTGAAGGTGCTCTCTGTGTGATTACATTTTAACTGTCTCCTCAACCACAAACAGAAAAGTCCAACACATAAACCGCAGATGAAAAAAATAAAAGTAAACGTGCCTTTTTCCATACTATGTGGCAAAAATAGCCCACCCTCCCAAGGCAAGCTCCATTTAAGTAAACCAGCCACCCGGGCGTTTACAGTCTTCGTGTCTGGTTTAGAATTACTCAGCAATGCAGTCGGTCATCCTTGGATAAATAGGACACTACCTCCACCTATGGGTGATGTAGTGACTTACACCAAATAGCAAAAATAGCTTAAATCTGTTGCAGTGCTTGAATGTGGACCACCTGCACATGGCAATCTAGGACTGAGAAAGACTGAGAAAGCAGTTCATTGGACATCTGTCACTCACACAATGAACAGGTGGAACAGGCAGCTACAGAGACCACAAAGGAGTGTGTCTGTACGGACATTGAACAAAGCCATTTGAATGCTTTTATCGCTTTAGCATGTTCGGTGTGCACTTTAATACATTTGGGCGAAGCTCATGGCTTTCACCCCTCTGTCTTGCACACTAGATGGGAAGTAGAAACGTGTTGGTTTCCACCAATAAACAGATCCATGTTTAAGCTTGTTGTAACTGGCAATTGTGAACTGTTCACAAAACGCCTGCCAAGACAGAACAAAATTACTGAGGCAAATGGAAAAAAAATGTCAAAATGGTACTTTAATTCCTTCTGAACAGTTACTACAGTCAGCAAAACTAAAACTCCAGGTATAGTAGTGCTTAATTTACAACAAGGCTACATTATGCTCATAAAAATAAACAAACTGTCCTAAAATGAAAAACATGGCATTTTGGCCTTACAAAATTATTATTATATCACCACAGAATATAACACAATATTTAAAGTTAAATCTTGTATTAAAATTATTAATATTCATTCATATTAGAAGTTAAACCTTTTGAGTTATGTCGTTATAAAGTGCTGTATGTGAGATTGATATCGCCACATAATGTAACACATTGAAATATTAACAGTTAAACCATGTGAGTTATATTATAAAGTGCTGTCTTCTGTCCAGCAGTGTGTCAGAGCTCCTAGTTAATAGCTGTATGGCCTTGTTTGCTGAGGGTTCTGGAATAATTTCTATAGTTCTGGAAATGGGCACCACTCTTCTCCCAGCCACAAACACCTCAACAATGTTCCGATCATCACCTGCAAAAATGTCACAGACACAGGGGTTAGTGAATGATATGCATTTTAAATCCCATTGAAACAATGCATTTACTTGATCAAGTCAGTTAGGATATGTGCTTTATTCACATACAAGGTGATTTCAATATAATAACCAAGAGACAGCTATATTTCAGGTTTTAATTAGTTATTTCAGTGGGTCAAATGTTTACACCCTTTGTCAGTATTTGTTGGCATTGCCTTTTAATAGCTAAACCTGAATCAAATGCTTGGGGTAACCTTCCACAAGCTTCTCACAATACCAGAATTTTTGCTCATTCCTCTGACAGAACAGGTGTAACTCCATCAGGCTTGTGGACCACCTTGCTCAAAGACGCTTATTCAGTTTAGTCCACAGATTTTCTGTGGTATTCAGGTCAAGATTTTTAGATTTGCTTGCAATTGTTTATAAAGATGCTTGTGGTACCTTCAACTGCTTGGAAAATGATCCTAAGAAGGTACTGAACTTGTGGAGGTCCACAGTTTTTTTCTGAGGTCATGGCTGAGTTGCTTGGATTTCCCCGTGGCATAAAGGGCAAAAAGGCACTGGCTCTGAAGTTAGGCCCCTGAATACAGCCAGTGGTGCACTCCTAATTAATTCCTAATTATGACTGTTGGCTAATCAGAAGCTTCTGAAAGTCATTACGTCAATTTCTGGAATCGTCCAGACCATTTACTCAACTTGGCTCACTAGAAATTGGACATGGTGAATTAAAGCTGAATAAATTGATTGTTTTAAAATTGCCTCTACCTATAAGCAAAGAAGTTGCCCTAATTGACTTGTCAAAAGAAATGACAACATGAAATAACTGAGGTTGTTAAAAATGTAGTATTACAACTGAGCCAAAACAATAAATGTACTTTATTCTGATAGGAAAAACACATATTATTAACATTATTAACCAAGTTATTTAATTCGTTGCATGGATAGAAAGTAACCATGTACACTACATGGAAAGGGCAACAGTACAAATACATAGTATCCTACCCAGATTTAGAAATTTCTCCAAAATGACCTGAAAACAAAAAGAAAAACAGAATGAGCCATCAGTACTAGAGAAAGAAGTGTACTATTTTACATTATAATAGCTGTATATACATTTCTTGTTTGATATTTATTATAGCAAGTCAAAATGTAAAACTAATAATTTTACACACTAACGACTCAATTTTAATGAGTGCTTAACTCATGTCTCTAATTCATGTCTTATTGTGCACATAGTATTACTTGTACAAGATAAAATACACAATAAGGGTGTTATACAGCAACAATTATACAGCATAATACTTTATCCACACATTGGAGACCTTAAACAGGTTTGTGCCTGATGTTTATGAGTATAAGGTGTTAGCGTGACAGAACATTTACCATATGTAGACAAACTGAAAAAAGTGCTGTTTACACAAGTGACTATCAGAAAAGGATCAAACCTTGGGCCCCTGTCCAGGAAACACATCGACCGGGCCTCCAGGAATACACATGTTCACTCGCAGAGCATCAAAGTCCTTCCCTACTTCAAAGTTTCCTGTCTGATCATCCAATGAGAGTGCTGCAAGCACCAGGGAATCAATAAAAACCAGCAATTAGGTTTGCAAAATTGTGTTAGCAAAATATTTTTCCAGCTGGCTGTTTTGGAAACCTGAAGTACAGTCAATTGCTGATTCAGTGAAATACAGTCATGAAATTGTTTTGAAAATCTCACAGGAATTCAGGTATTTTAGCAGGCATTAAGTATAAAGTTAGGGTGTATAATTGGAGCTAAAGTCATATTAAAGAGGAGGTAGGGCCCCTACCCTCACTGCCCCCAAGCGTGGCTAACCGGAAGGCCTCTTCAAAGGTGAGAGTCTGAAGCTGAGCATCCTGCATAGTCAGGGCCTTGGAGGTGTCCATAGCTCGACGAAGAGCATCTAGTATGGAGGCGGAGTAGCCTCCTGCTACATCTGCCCGAAAGATAAAACACCATAAGGGAATATCAAGGCATCCCTGTTGAAGGGAAATCTCCCCCAGTTATTATTATTAGATTAACTATGCCGTATTTGTACATTAGGCCAATGGATAAAAGAACTACTAGAACTCACCTGTGCCCAAGCCCAACTTCACTTTGTGGTTTAGAACATTACGAACGTTAAGCATGCCACTGGCCAAGCTAGAGGGGGAGAGAGCATGAGAACGAACAGATAAAGTCTTTTCAAACTCAAACTTTAATATCAGTTAAAGATGGGCAGTATCATTTGTCACTGCAACACACACAACAAATGAGCCCTATAAATGTATACAGATGGTCATAGTAAGTGGTCTGTAACATCCCCGGTAATGTCGGGCTTTAACGCTGTCTGACAAATGTACATCATTTCATCGTTCTAAACCATGCAAGGCAGAATTCACTAAAATATTTTGTCATGTTAGTTGCAATATGTACAGTACTAACAGATCCAAACAATGTCTGTTGAGACTAAAGCGAATGCACATACGAGAGGTTGCTGTTTGGGCAGTGAGAGATTGCTGCTCCTCTCTCATGGAAAATCTTCAGTTCCTCGTCACTCAGGTAGCAACCATGAGCCATCACCGTCTGCCAGTCACAATCATCATTATCGTTAGAGCCCCAACATTAAGTTAAATACAAATTACACAACCAAATATCTTCCAAGAAACTTTACTGTAATTTTTGTGTTCATTTTAGTTTCACTTTTAAGTGGTCCATTAAGTTTTAGGTGTTATAAACTAAAACAGTCTGAAGACACACAGTATTCCATTTTCAGTAATACCACTGTGAAGGGTATTGAGGCATTGTAGAGATGTATGTGTGTTATGTAGCACTAGTTGGCAGTGTGGAGACACAGCTCTTCAGACAGACCGAAGGTAGGCAAATGATAATACCCAGTACTGACTACAAATCACATGACCCAAAACTTGAGATGGCCTCCTTTATCCTCCTGGGTGACAGGGGTGCAGAAGCCAGGAAACACCCTGGACAGGTCGCCAGTCCATCACAGGGCAGACACACAGACATACACATTCACACCTGGGGCAATTCAGCAACTCCAATTAACCTCACTGCATGTCTTTGGACCGTGGGAGGAAATTGGAGCACTTGGAAGAAACCCTCACAGACACAGGGAGCACATGCAAACTCCACACAGAAAGGACCCTGGTTGCCCCGCTTGTGAATTGAACGCAGGCCCTTCTTGCTTTGAGGCAACCGTACTACCCACTGCACCACCGTGCTTGTTTGTGTTCTTAAAGTTCTGAATTTTTTTCAAGCTTCACCAACAGCTACTGTCAAAAGGCTTCTTCACCTATTTGTGGCTCTAGTTCTGCTGACCTAAACAAAAATTAGAAGACATTTTTGAAGTCCCTACACTTCATTCAAAAATGACAGGAAAACGTTTTGTCTTTTAAATGAAATGATAGAAATGTTCATGCTTCATATGACAATGTACTTGAAATAACAAGGTGAAAAAGGTCACCTCTGATTTCAGGTTGACTTTGAGACATTATGTGCTTATTTCAGGGCAGTCCTAGAACAAACTGTCCACACATTCTGTTCTGCACATTCCACTGTCAGATGTGTATCATGCAACTGCAGTATGTTGGTGCTTGTCACAGGATGTGTGATCACAGGTAATGTTCAGACATTAGCCAGGACACCCATTGCATTTTATTGATAAAAGCACAAGCATGTTGCAACATACCCCTGACACATAACACCTTTGAACAGGATATAAGTTCACCTGAGTCAGATTTGAGTGTAGAGTCTCTGGGTTGCAAGTCCCAGTTGAGTCTCAAGTCTCCGGGGTGTGAGTGCAAGTCTAGTCTCAAATATTTATTTAAGAATTTTTATCTGAGACAGCTGTGGTTTCTTTAGCTAATATGCAGGGTTGAGATGTAAAGGATTGGAAAGTATTGCGAATAGATATTCAGGATACAGAAATTAAGTATTAATATTCAGTCCAATTACATTTTGAAAAGGCAGCATTCAGCATTTGGTTACCTTTTAAATGTTTAGGAGAAATACTTTTAGAATACTTACCCACTAAATTTAAAACATATACACCGTCTTTACTTACTAAACTTACATCTTACTAAAACATCGGGCTGTTGTGATAGCTAGCATACTTACAATCTAAACTACATACTAGCCAACTGTTGTTGGATTGTAACTATGCTAGCTAGCTAATGTAATAGCTAATCCAACTGAAGTTTAGGTTTTAACAGAATGTGATCTGTATCATAGTAAAACATCAGCTTAGATTAGCTGTTGTGCTAACTAGCATACTTACAATCCAAACTACACGCCAGCCCCAACTGTTTAAGTTGGCTAGTGTGTAGTTTGGATTGTAAGTATGCTAGCTGGCTAACATAATAGCTAATCCAAATGAATTTTTAGTAAGTTTAAAAGGAATGTGATTTGTATCTTACTAAAACGTCAGCTAGATTAGCTGTTGTGCTAGCTATCATACTTACATTCCAAACTACACACTAGCCAATTGGCTAGTATGTAGTTTAGATTGTAAGTATGCTAGCTAGCCAGTTGGCTAGTGTGTAGTTTGAATTGTATGATAGCTAGCACAACACACTAGCCAACTGGCTAGCTAGCATACTTACATTCCAAACTACATACTAGCCAGTTGGCTAGTGTGTAGTTTGGATTGTAAGTATGATAGCTAGCACAATGGCCAACTGGCTAGTATGTAGTTTGGATTGTAGGTATGTTAGCTAGCTCACGTAATAACTAATCCAGCTGAAGTTTTAGAAAGTTTAAAAGGAATGTGATTTGTATCATACTAAAACGTCAGCTAGATTAGCTGAAGTTTAAGTAAGTAAAAAGAAGTTGAAGTTAAGTAAAAAACAAAACATCACTACATGTGTTCTGCCCAACTCTGCAAGTATGCTAGCTAGCTAATGTAATAGCTAATCCAAATGAATTTAAAGTAAATTTTAAAGGAATGTGATCTGTATATTACTAAAATGTCAGCTAGATTAGCTGCTGTGCTAGCTAGCATACTTAAAATCCAAACTACATAGTAGCCATCTGTTTAAGTTGTTTTGCCTCTTTTCTCTTTCCTACACTCGTTTGCCCTGATGAAGCATGTGACTAACATGACTGACCCTATCTTTTTCTTGGCTATAATATAGTTCATCTTTCTCCTGAAAAGCATTTTTTGATTTTTTGTTGGCACCTTCCCCCATTTGTACAAAAAACTCACCATTTTACAATTTTGTCAGTGAATAAATTTCAAGCAGGTAAGAGAAACTGTCATGTTCCAACATTTCTCACCTTGTCTGTTAGCAGGTCATGTTTGAGGTAAACATCCGTGTATGATTTGCAGTCTGGAAAAAGTTGCCTTACCAACTTTACCTCCGCTTTGTTTTCACTGATGTGGCTCTGGAAATAAAAAAGGTTAAAAATGACAACACATTCTGGACCTTTATTTATTTTATGTTTGATTATGTAGGAGATGAGTCAAATGTGACTGTGACAGTCAATGTGACACCTAGTTCAACTCATAAAAGTCTTTTAGATCTGGGAAAACTCCTTACAGTGCAAAACACTGAACTGTGTGTTGGGGTATTCTATGGACTATGATCAGGAAACATGGCAGTAAAGGGAGGCATAAACACTCAGCACATCACAGTGGGTTTTATCACACATTCTTACTGATGTGCAGTTATGTTTAAAACCAGCGTTTAAAGGGTGTGGTTTTGTTTAGTACACTATAGTCCCAAGGGCAAAAGGGGTTTCATAACTAGCAGTAACTCGAATTCCAGACCTACCAAGCTGTTCCTTCACAAGCTTTTCAAGCTTTTGTTACACCAGCAATTACATTAATTACCTCAAGTGTAAAAACAGAAACACCTTTTTAAAAGGCATTGTTTTGTGGAAGTGGGGGGGGAGGTGGCACGGAGGCCCAGTGGGTAGTGCTGTCGCCTCACAGCAAGAATGGCTTGGGTTCGATTCCCAGCCGGGCGACCAGGGTCATTTCTGTGTGGAGTTTGCATGTTCTCCCCGTGTCTGCATGGGTTTCCTCCCACAGTCCAAAAATGTGCAGTCAGGCCAATTGGACATGCTAAAATGCCCCTAGGTCTGAATGTGTATATCTGTCTGCCCTGCGATGGACTGGCGACCTGTCCTGTGTATCCTGCCTTCTGCCCAATGACAGCTGGGATAGGCTCCAGCACCCCACCGTGACCCAGAAGGATGAGTGGTTTAGATGATGTGTGTGTGTGTGTTTTGTGGAATGAAAGTAATTTCATTGAAAGGTATATGGGGCTTACCTGAATGTGTAGGTCATTGTTTTTGGCAATCTTTCCCAGGGTGTGGAGCAGGGAGGAGGAACAGGACACCGCAAAGCGTGGGGTCACCACCGGCTTCACACGGGCATACTGTCATACATATACATACAATTAAAACAGGAAAAGTTATTAAACACACAAATGCCTTGGTTAAAAAATGTCATCACATGCTGCAATGTTTAAATGTGTACCAAGAATTCTTATGAACTCATTATGAGTGTATTGTAAGGTATCCTCAGTCTTTTTGGCTAGAACCTGACCATCTTAGAACCTCAACAACCAATAGCTTTGCCCTTGGGGTGGTCAATTCTTTTTTTTTTTATCACAGAGGTTAACAATAGACTTCTGAAATCATTCTTTAGTCAGCATAATGCCCATATTAGGAACTCCTAATGTTTAGGCTGGTTTTCTCTATGAGAAAAATGAATGGTGTTTTTCGAAAATCACTGCTGTTACATCCTGTGGTAAACAAAAACGTTCCAGAGCCAATATGTTTAGATTACCTGCTTAGATTTCCTGATATGGACATGATACAAACTACAGAATGATGCACAACTTCAGAGGTCAACTAAAAATAATTTCACATTTGCAGGACACATGTCAGAATTACAGTGGGTTTACAGTACAGTAAATGAAACTGAAACTAGGAATCTCTGAGTCATTGAGATGCTTAATCCTACATGGGTGCAGCAACGGTTGATAGTCTTAATGTTTGTTGTGATTATTCCTGTTTCTTTTAGTTTTGTTATGATATGTCTGCTATGATATAAGAGTCCAGTACTTTACCTTTTTCTTGAGTAGTTCACGTATGAATCTGTAAAGGCAAGGCAAGACATTTGAGCATTGATGGAAACATCACATGGTAGCTGTGATGATCTCACAAACTTAAACTAGCTGAAAAAGAACTATAACATCATATTTCTTATATTTTGTTATATCTCATTGCGTTCATGTTGTGTGAACATTTCATAATGAAAGAACTAATAGAAATCATCCATTTTAGAGATACATGGTTTCTCCAAATTATATGTGATTTTTTGAAGTATTCCAGTTATATGCAAAGTTTTAACACCCCTGGTCAGCAGATTTAGTTGATTTTATAAGTGAAAATAAGTTAACACATCCTCTATCCTCTATTTTGTGAAAATGTGAATTTTCTGAAGTAATATGTTACATTAACATGAGATATATCATAAATGATAGGTATGTTGCACATATATGTTCTACAGATTCATCTAAGGATTGCCAGAGCAGTCTAGAGATCCAGAATGCTTGCATGCCTCAGCGGGTGTAGTCTTGTTGCTTTTGCTTGAAAACGTTTCTTGCCATTGCAACAAACACTGGTCTACCATCTGTATTGTTTCTGTATAGTTAGAAGTATTTTTGTGGTTCCTTTTAGTTACTACATATAAATGAGAGAAGTCACATGCAGACACATAGAGCAAGTAACCCCATCTTTGACTCATTTAATTCCAGAATTCACTGGGATCATTGATCATACTGTTCGTTTTTTAACTATTCTTGGTAGTTCACAGACACTGACCATAACTTATTTAGTTCTAAGAAGCCAGATTGGGGCCTGAACTGTCCAGCCAGCACACAGTAACTGTCCCTTACTAAAACTAACCGTAGCGTCTCATCTTTGCATTCCTTCAGTGGCTCTTTGTAGTATGGCACCATACTGTTGCAGTCCATGCACACCTTCCCAACAAGCGCTCTCTGCCCAAAGGCATCTGCAAGATAAGAACCAAGAAAGGCATCAAGCCCAAATAATTGAAAACAATTTTTTTGCAATAAGGCTAAAATGCTAATAGTAAAAATTAAAGCACATTAATGGTGGCTAATTACAACATGATGGTGAATGCCTTTCATTTGCTGTTAGCCATTTTAGGAACCAGGGGTTGTGAGGTGTACAACACTAATTTAGCCTTTTAATTTACTATCCAAAACCACCAATGAATCTACATGTGACTTGTTATATATTTAATGTTGATGATGGTAAAATAGAGGGAATCACCCAATAACAACATTGGCATTTTACTGTAAAGCAAAATCATATCTATTTTATTCATCTATTCATTAAAAAAATGTCTAAAAATGTCTAAAACTTAAAAAAATCAAAACTTTCATAAAGATGATGTCTCAAACATCAGACAGCATAGTTGGTATCATTTTGTGAATAAGCATTCTGCAAGGTAGCTTTTAGGCTGGCTTTACACGGTGAAACTTTCATGCATCTAGTTGCATGTTGTGAGTTGCCTGCAACAGAATTTCCATGCAACTTGACAGTTACACGAAGCAATGCAATCAAAGTTGCATGCAACACACTAGTTAGGCAAAATTGCAGTTCGTAGTTTTTGACACTCTGTATCGTTCTCGCTAAAGTCATCCGCGAGGTGTAATTTATATATTTGTGGCATTTTTATCATCTTTGTGTCATTTTTCCAGCTGTCATTGCTGTTCTTTTGTTCTATATCTAAAGATTTGTCTTTTATTTATCTCTCTAAGGCTCTTATATTTGAGTTTTTATCTGTTGTGTGTATGTTAATTCTTTGAAAATAGATGTTCAGTCATTACGGGTATGGCCTACTTGATGTCTCGCTCGTTGTGTCCTAGAAGCACGACATGCTCATCATGGAATCCATTAGTCTCCTCTTATCTCTACATCTCAAGTGAATCTGAGCTCTGTGTAAAATTAGGCATCAAGAGAGGAGAAAATGAATCTAGCTACATAGATCATAATTACAGCAGGCTAAAGAAGAATGAAAGCAGGTGCAAGCAGCCATTTAAACACCTGTTAGCGTTAGCTGGCAGCCGGTTACTGAAACATTAGCTTTAAGAAACCCATTTGTTTGTTGCCACAGTTCAGGTAACTGACAAAATTAAACCTACCAACCTTACATAAAGTTAATAGGGAGGATCTCTTTTTCAGTTGCCCAATAAACCTTCTTCTGTTTTATGTTCTTGTCCAGTGATGCAGTGAAATGAGTCATTTGAAATCAGTTGACTTGATCACGTGATGCATTATCAGCGTTTTGATTGCTTGCAACTGTTGCGGTTTCAAGTGAATTGCAGGATGCTTGGCATTGTGCAACTCAAGTGCAATTTAGTTTCATGTAGGTTTCAAGCAACTAAAGTTGCATGAAGGCCTCACCATGTAAATCCAGGCTTAGAGGCATTAAGCTCTTCAGACGTCTCGTTCCTATCACCACCAATGTGAACCATTTTGACTTTTCATTGTGCAGCTCAAGTCAATTAGTTTCATTTAGGTTTCAAGCTACTAAAGTTGCAGGAAAGTTTCACCGTCTAAAGCCAGCTTTAGCGGTATTAAACGCTTCAGACGTCCAGTTCCTATCAACAACACTGTGGACAATTCAGAATCTAGCTTCTCTAGAATGGAGCATTTCCCAACAAACCACACTGATGCATTATGCAGACATTTTGAAAAATAAATGGAAGTCCATGTGCTTGTAAGTAATGGCTAAGGGTTACATCATTGCATGGACTTTAACATACATAACAGTTACAGCAAAGTAACTTGAATCATTCCCAGCCTAAAATCAATGACTAGATTTCTCTGGATTTTATCTGGACAGCAGTACAACCATTGGCCTTCTTATGTAACAAATCAAACATGAGCACATGCTCTTACTCTCCAGAGGGTTAAAGGTTAAAACATTTGTATGTTTGCCTTGAAGTTACCTGCAATTTGTCCAAGCAGGAGCGATGCGTCTGTGTGTATAGTGGCAAAGTAACACGCTGTTGTGGTTCCATTACGTAGAGTTCTTTTCTAAAACCATTAAAACAAAGACATTGTTCTCAGGTACCTACATACATCTATATTTGACAAATCTTTCATGATTTCTCCAAACAGACAACAATAAAAAGAACATAACTGTGCATGATTACCACAAAACAGCATCATTAACACCTAGTCAGATGTTCATGTGACACCTACATGTCATATACAAATACATTTCCTATCAAAACAGCTATTACTTATGAGTTAATCATATTTCAGCAGATATTTTTGAGGAGTTTATATATAAAATAATCCACTTGCATAAGGAAGGAGAAAGGCAAAGGAAAATGAATGAAAAAACAGGAATTTCCAAAACTGGAGTTCAAAGAAATGCAGACAGAAACAAAGAAGTTTCTGTTGTTACTTGGATGGTGAGAAGCAGAAAAAACAACCAACTTCTAAGACTAAACTTTGAAGATGTGGAAAAATGTTTCTGCAGATTTCTTTGAAAAACTGAAAGCAGTTCTCCTGAAAAGAATGGAAGTTGTAATAAAGGCAAAGGGTGGACACAGTAAATATAAAACAAATATGCATATATTTTATGTAGATCTTGAGGCTCCAGTGTAAGTTTTTATTAAATATGTTTTTTATACATGTTTATCTATTTTTCGTGATTAATAATGAATAACTTGTACTTATTGACCATTTTAGCTAGGAATGAAATAAAAGAAGAGTGGTCTCTGACTTTTGCACAGCTCTGTGCTTTTTCACATGAAGTGTTTCTATGATGAATCCCACTTAACGTCCACTAATAAAAACACCTACCTAGTACTTCCACTCAGTGGCCACTTTATTAGAAACACTTACATTATGTTTCCACTCACTGGTCATTTATTATAAACACCTAGCTTATAGCCCTTCTCCATCATGAACAATTCATCAGCTCCCCTCCACTTTAATCATTGGTCAGTTTCTTACCACAGGGCTGCTGATAAACAAATGTTGACCAGATGCTGAGATGGCAGTGGCATAGTGATATTGCAGGAGTTTTGACACACTTCATTGTTAGTGGTCCACCACCCAAAATATCCAGTCAAGAGCAACTCTGTGGTCAGAAAGTGACCAGTGATGAAGGGCTAGTGGATGCTTAATACAAATTGTGCATTAACAGACAGACTAGAAGTTTCTAACTGTTTCATCAACAAGGTAGAGCTACAAGATGGTGTTTCCAATCAAGTGGCAGTAAGTTCATTTTTATTTTACTTAAAAACACACTAAAATATGGTGTGTGTGTGTGTGTGTGTGTGTGTGTGTGTGTGTGTGTGCTGCTGCAAACTCAGTTTTGACTGAGTTCGCTTTTAATACTCTTTCAGCACACTCACAGTCATCAATTTCATGCCATCTAGGAAGGGGTCCGAAACACAACCCTCATTACAAAGTGTTCTTCCGCATGTTGACTGCATTTAGACACTTTAACCAGAGGGGTCTCTAAGTCCCCAATACGTACATAGTGTAGCTATAATTGCTTGAATTAACTTACTGTTGCTGTCGGAACAAAGCCTTATATCTCAGTTACTATGTAGGACAAGGGAAAATATACTTAATGGTAAATGATTTCATTTTGTACTGATTCTACTTGCCTATCAATCATGAACTTTTCCCAAAGTGCAATGGGCTGGCATTTTCGAATTATATTAAAAAAAGGTTGTGTTCTGACAGCAATATATTTATCAAATGTGTTTAATTTCCTGCTTAGTTATAATGCTATTGCAGCTTACCACAACTTTGGTGTAGACGTCCCTGGCAAAGTCCAGATCCTTGTAGCGTGACTCCACAGGGAAAGTGTACGTGTTGAGCCAGTCTAAGAGGGGCAGGTCGAGGGCAGTGCCTGAGTAACTGTACTGCGAAGCATGGATGTGTGTGTCAACCATTCCTGGCATGAGGAACTCACTGTAAAGAAATACCATATCATCAGTCAGACAGTAAAGGCATGGAGGGAAACTCCTCAGCATTCCAACATGTCAGATCATGAGATCTGTGTCTTTTGTTTCTACTGTATTATTCACTTGAGTTTGTAAAGACCTGTTCAGCCTGTTGCAAGTTTTGATTTCATTGTTCAACTGTTTACTGTGTCCCTCATATAGCTAAATAATGGTGGCATTACAAATCTTTACCCTTATAGAAGCAATCCATTTTCCACAATGAGCTCTTAAGCAAAGGGCAGATATGGCTGAAAGGTCTGTTCAGTGGAGAACTTGTCGGACCATCCCTTAGTGCAGAATTTCGTCTTTATCATGGCATTGCCATATTTCATACATCTCTACATCTTCTCGCTTCTCTAGAGAGCACATTCATTGAAGCGATATTCTTACCAGCAACTGGCTTTGAGGAGGTAAATCATCAAGGTTTTTGGAGCCTAGGAGTAAAACTGACGGTTTATGGTCTGTTTCTACAAGGAACAAGGAATTTGGAGAGTCGTTCACATGCCCAGGTAGTGGTAAGTGTCTTCTTTTCAATCTGGGTAAGTTTTTATTCTGAGATGCCGAGTGTTCTCAAGAAATATGTTACCGATGTCACCTGCTCCCTGCCAGTATGAGGATGCAACATCTGAAACAACCATTTTTGCTTTGGGGTTATATACAGCCAGCCCTGGTGGGGTGCTGAGCTAACTTTGGATTTCTTCAAATGCTTTCTGCTGGGCACATCCCCACATCCACACATTTTCTTTGCGCTTACATACCTCAGGGGTGGCTCAGGGGTGGCACGGGGGTGCTGTCTCCTCACAGCAAGAAGGGCCTGGGTTTGATTCCCCGGCCGGGCGACTAGGGTCCTCAGTCCAAACCACAGTCCGAAAACATGCGGCCAGGCTAACTGTAAATGTTAAATTGCCCCTAGGTGTGAATGTATGTGTCTGCCCAGTGACTGGTGACCTATCCAGGGTGTTTCCACCCAATGACTGCTGGGATAGGCTCCAGCACCCCCTGTGACCCAGAAGGATAAGCAGCTTAGATAATGTGTGTGTGATATACCTAGGAAATGCCTGATCTCACATTTCTTGGTTATGTCATGGCCAGAGGTGGGTAATCCAGGTCCAGAAAGTAAAAACTCTCCCCACCCACCCAGAGAGAGCGAGGCCAATTGTGCTCTCTCGGACTCCCGGCTATGGATGGCTGTAGCATCACCAGGGATCGAACTCGCGATCTCCTGATGATAGGGCCAACGCTTATACGGTTGCGCCACTCGGGAGCCCAAACTGTTGGGTTTTTGAGACCTCACACTTGTTCACTGTCACTCTTGCATCTTGAAGTCTAGTTAGTCTAGAAATAAAACCTCCAAAATAGTGCTATTAATGTGGTGAGGAGAGCAGACTTCTTGAAGAGAGGGATTTGCCAAAAGAGTCTCCATCTAGCATTGAGAACACCTTAACAGCCTGCATCTGTCCTAGTGTGTGTTCAAACACCTTTCTCTTTTCATGGAGTTATTCAGTTTTGTGAGGTCTACACAAATTCTTACAATTCTTATGCCAGCACACCAGTCTGTTAGCTATTCTACTTTCGAAATGACCCCCAGCAACTCCTTCCTGACCAGCTCTTGTTTCATCTTGGACAGGAAGGGAAGGGAGACTTGACTAGTTGTAGAATGATGAGAAAGGTGTGGCCTTTCACCTGCCAGTTTCTCCTGTCTGCTGTGAACTGGTTCTTTCCTGTCTCTATGGTACTCAGAAACATTACATAAAGCCTAGCTATTAAGCCCAGAGCTTGTATTACAAGGCAAACAAGTAAAGTGACTGCAGCCATGTCATCACATTTAGATTTGGAACCTCTCAATCCTATTTATCCATTTCGGCCAGTCCTCTGGTTTGCTGAAGTTAAACTTCGCTGGTGGGGGAACTTGAAACTGGTTCATTCTCTTCTATGCTTGCCTAGCTTTCACTAACTGTTAACTTGTTAAATGTGTGGCTTAGGTAGTCTATAACCTGCTGGCTAAATCTTGAGGCGGCAGCTCTTTCCACTAAGGAAATTTGACCCAACTGTTAGTGGCATTCACCAACAACTATTTCTGGCACCATGTTGTATTATGTTGTGTCTGGACATGAAGATGGGAACAAGCTTGCATGTAAAACAGGTTCAGCTTTTACATCTGCATGAACAATTCTGCCAAATGTGCATTCCTTGCAAAATTTGCATATATTTTCGTAGTGTAACTGCATATTACATCAGTCACCACCTTTTGTCCTGGTAATCTACCTTTCTACAGAGTCTAGTTTCTGGGTCAGATGCACTGTTGTTAGGTAAGCACATTATCCTGATGAAAGAGACCACTGCCATCAGGGAATACAACTGCCATGAAGGGATGTACCAGGTCCAGAACAAAGTTTAGGAAGGTAGCACATCAAATTGATGTCCACATGCATGCTTGGACCCAGGATTTCCCAGCAGAACATTGCCCAGAGCATCACACTCCCTCCACATGCTTGTCTTCTTTCCATACTGCATCCTGGTGCCATCACTTCCCCAGGTAAACAGTGCACATATATTCGGCTGTCCACATGAAGTAAAAGAAAACGGACTCATTGGACCAGATTGCCTTCCTTCATTGCTCCAGGGTCCAGTTCTGACACTCACGTGCCCATTACGGGCGCTTTTAAAGGTGGACAGGGGTTAGCATAGGCACTCATAGCATGGCCCCATACACAGCAGGGTGCAATGCACTGTGTGTTGTGACACATTAACCATCATTACAAAAATACTGTGGCTTGTTCCACAGTAGCCCTTCTGTCAGACAGGATAGCTTTCATTGACCTCGTAGATGGTGCCTTGGGTGCCCAACACCTTGTCGCTGGTTCGTAGTTTGTCCCTCCTCTGACTGTCAGTAACTACTCACCACTGCTGACCAAGAGCATCCCACAAGCCTTGCCATTTTTAGAGATTCTTTGACCCAGTTGCCTGGCCATAACGAACTGGGCCTTGTCAAAGTTGCTTAGGTCTTCACACCTGCCCACTTCCACCGCATCCAACATGTCAACTAAGAGAACCGTCTATTGTCTAATACCAGGCCTTGATGCGCACCATTGTTATGAGATAATCAATATTTTTCATGTCATCTGTGAGTGCTCATAATGTTCTGACTCATCAGTGAATGTGTTTTCTGTGATGTGTTGCAGACAGATTGAAGATACTCACTGCTGCTCGAGCTGTATAATATCAGAGGTTTGGAAGCCCCATGTCTGTGAGAGACTGTCCACATTCTGACCTTCCTCAATAAAGGCAATCTATCAAAGAGAGAAAGAACAAACAGCATTTACAATCATTGGAGACATGATGGATGATGTATTAATCATAACTACACGTCCTTACATGCACTAATACAGTCAATAGCAGGACAGCCAAAAAAATTTTACCTGAAGCTTTTCCCTGCAGTGGCCAAATAAGACTGTTTTGAAAAAACTATCTAAGCAAGTCCTAAAGTTCAAAGTCGCTTTACTGTTGGTCTACAGAGTTCACAGATTCTCACTATAGGCCATATCCCTACATTGGCAGCCATATAGTTGATGTAAAACCCACACATTTTCCCACCCATGTTTTAAAAAAGCCCACCTCCTGCGATAGACTTGGCTAGTAGTACTTTATATTCACAAAAGTCTGCCAATCTTAGTGCCTGAGTGGAATAAATTGTATCATAATACACTTTTCTCAGCATATCCTTGATATCATCAGTACTTCAAGAACACTGGCTGCAAGAATATAATAAGTCCTGTTTAATTGGATTTAGTGTGGTGTGGAAGCTCATTCCAGCTGGATAGTGGACAAAAAAATGACCTATGATATTTTCTGGTCAAATTACTGACTTAGTATCTTACAATAATGGACTCACCATGTTGAAGTAATGACTTAGTATCTCCTAATAATGATTTGCTATGTCAAAATAATGGCTTATTTTTAAGTCAATATTTTGGGAAAATTAGTAATTATTTTAAAATATTAAATCAATGTTTAAAAAAAAATCATTATTTTGAGATATTCAATATTTTGAGAAAATTAGTAATATTTCCAAAATATTAAGTAAATATTTTGTCGAAGTGAGTCATTATTAATGAGTTATTTTAAGACATTAAGACTAACACATTTCACAACAAAAAACTCTGAAAGACTTTTTATCTTAACCATTTAATGATGCTGAAATTTAGAAATCGGTAGAAATTGGTGGTTAATTTAATTTTCTTTAAGGGAAACCAGACCTTAAGACCTTTTTTTGGACAAGTACGGTTTTTGTACTGTATTTTCCGTCAGTAAAGTACATGAAACTGAGCAAAAGCATCTAAACAGCCTTTATTTTATTACATTGTGGTAAAAATAGAAGACAGCTGGAACTGACGGATGATACTGGTCGGAGACACCAGCATTAAAAATACGGACATTTTAGCCCATCACTGCCAGAAGATAAACCTCCACCATACGGAAATCTGATATATGACCATGCAGGCATATATATCATAACGGATCAGGCATATATTTCAAAATATATGTACTTTTATGTTGTGTACATGCACGTAAGTATATATATAAGACTTATATACATAATAGTTTAAATTTTAATTGTTACTCTGTTATCTGTTTTTATAATTGAAAGTGTCTGCCAACAATATTTTCATTTATTTCATGTTTTAATGAGTTTATTTCACACAGCTTACAATGTGCATGTTTTAGAGTGTGTATATATATATATATATATATATATATATATATATATATATATATATATACACACACACACACACCATCCATGTATGAATGTATTCTTTCATATGTTGTTAAATATATGTGTTGATATATGAAATAAATGTCCTATATTTGAAAATGTGCCAGTTTCAAATAAGTTGGCATATAAATATGGACATATAACACACTTCAAAAGATGGTTCTTCAAAGGCTCCTTCAACCATTAGTTCTATTTGATTAAATGGTTCTTTGCATGGTGAAACGGTTCTTCAGATTGTTTGAGAATGTGTTGTATATGATTCTATATAGAACATTTCTGAAAATGGTTCTATATAGCACCAAAAAGGATTCTGCTATTGTAACAACAGAATAACCCCTTTCAGTGTTATAGAACCTATAGATCCTTTTTTGAAAATGGTTCTGCACCAAAAAGGGCTTATAAAGGTAAAAATAGAAAAATACATTTTGATGCTACACAGAACCACGCAAAGAACCACTAAAGCATGAAATGATTCTATATAGAACTTCATTAACTGTGCGCGCGCACGGCTACTTTTTCTTTTTAATGCACGCGCGTTTGGTTTTCTCGCAGAAATAAGTGACCAGACGGGTCTTTACGCACCTTCCCCTCGGCGTCCACTCCCAGCACGAAGTCCTCCAGGATCTGGAGTGCCTCGTCCCGCGTGGAGTGCGCGAGCGTCCCCCGGTATACGGTACTCACCGGCATGACCGCGAGCTCAGCAGCCAGGTTCCTGTCTTCCCTTCTGAGCGAGTCAGGTGCGCCTCCCTGCCTGCCTTTATACCGCTGACTGACGCTGCAGAGGGAGGAGGTGCAGGGAGGAGGTGCAGGGAATCGCACTGAAGCTGACCACCTCCTCACAGCCCTGCTGAAAAACCCATAGAAGCCGTTGAGTGTTGGTTACTGATGGCTTTGTAATATAATTTGGCCTTTTTTATGGGTTAATATGACAATTTAAAGGCTCCTAATGGCTTAACGAGTGACCAGTGACTGATTTCTAAATGATCATGATGGTGGTCTTTGTTGGAAACCATCAAGCCAAATCCCAATTAGAAAGCAAAACCACTAGGTTTTCATCCTGGTGGTCCTTTTTCAGCAGGGAGAGCAGCTCTAAATACTACCCATCCACTCACAACAGGCGCCAACTGAGCAACAGCACTAAAACACTACATTTAAATACCCAGACTCAGACCAGCTCCTTCAGCTTTCTCCCTCTCCTGGCCTGTTTGGTATCACTTTATTAGTATTAAAACCAGATTTAAAAGAATTGAAGGCTTAATGAAAGATCAGTCCCTTTAATTTTTTATTTCTACTGGCAAAAATCTCACCTGACTGGCCTTCAGCAGAGCTGCTGCCTCTCTTAACCCCTTCAAAGTCCAGCGCCCACTGGTGGGCCCATAGTTTTACTACACAGGGTTCCATCACATGATTTTTCTGTTGTGGTCACCATATTTGGGACCAGTTTCTGGCTTCGCTGCTCTGCACGGACATAACTAGAGGTGAAAGGTGGCTAAAGTTACTCTCCTTACTTTGGAAGAGAAAAACGTTACCTCAACAAAGTCGATGAAACTGTCTGCGATCCTTACACAGTTTCCCCCCTGAACTCCTGGTCCCACTTAAACTGGCACGAAAGCTACCAAATTTGTGTTGTCCTGACATATTTATCTCATACACAACCCGTCTCCCTATGTTGGAGGGTCTCTCAAAGCATTTAAAAGCACAGAAGCCCACCGGCTCTTCACATCAGGGTGGGTAAAGGATCCCATGATGTCGCATAAGGGTAGATAGATCATAGGAGGGTAAGGCCACATCAACACAGATGTGAGCAATGTTAGCCTTTAGATAACTTTCACTAATGTTAACAGCTGAGAGATAAACAGTCGTCCCCCTAACGGAGCTGCAAACACCTGGGTATAACTTTACTCTGTTTCTGGAGATTTAAATGAGGTTTAAATGGAAAAACATAAACGTTAAATATAAGACTGAATGTCGTGGGTCGGAAAACGACGTCGTGTTTCGACAGACGTGATTCTGTAAGTCTGCTAGTGCAGTTAGTGCAGAGTTCCCAGCTCCAGTCCTGCAACCCCTGCACTGCATAACTGTGGTTTCCCTGGTTAAAACACCTGATATTATTAGCTAATTAATCCCTTCTTTAGCTGAACGAGGTGTGAACCACAGAGAGAAACACTAAACTATAGAGTGCAGGGGCTCCAAGCCTGGAGTCTGAAAACACTGAATTAAAGATCTGTGTAGTCTCTCGTCTCTCGGCTTCTGTCGCATCCTGCAGGTGAATCATTCACAAAGCACAGCTAATTTAAGGCATCGCGCAGCGCAATCACTCCCAGATGTGGTCCTCAAAATGGCAGCGACTATACAGTGTGATGCCACACGAAACGCGAGAATAACCTAAGAATAGCTCTACTAGGTTGCATTGGAGTCCCTACACAGATAGCACATTTAATATGGGTCATATCCGGTATTTAGATGCGGCCCATATATCACATGGAATGATGGCACAGGAGTGGGCCAGATGCGGTTGCCAGAACCCAGCCTATTTATTGCCGTTACAGGGCCACATCTCAGCCACCTTTAAAGCACCACTGCCAGAACGGCCCCACCACTCAAAACCACTCGTACAAAAACCAGGTCATTACAACAACTGCCCTTTTGGGTGGGAATGTTGCACGGTGCCATGAGGCTGAGGGGGAGGTGATGTTTAACCCTTTTGAGCTACTGGCAGCAGATGGTTATGGTGCTGATGGGATTTGAACTCACAATTTCCTGATAAAAGAGCAAATGCTTAGTCCATTGCACTATGCAGGTACTTTTGTTTACAAACCTACATGTCCAAAATGTTTACAACACTGTGAAAAAGATTTGTTTAATTTAAAATAAGTGAATATTAAGCAGCCACAAATCACTGTAAACTAAATCTGAATTAAACTGCAAACTGGGATATGTAGTAGTGGTCCTAGTACCGAGGCAGGTTGTATTGAATGAACTAAAATTTGCATTTTAACCTGGTTTTTCTCTTTGTTGAAATAACATATGCCATAAAACAAACAAAACAAATGCCATAAAAGCTAAAAACTATGCTCACACACAGTCCTGTTAATCTCTGTTTAAAATATAAGTGATTATCATGTAGCTCATGTCAGCACTGGCAAAGTTTGCCAGAAGTGCCCCAAATCTGTTTTTCTATGAGACATGTGGGCCACTTTTGGCTCACATGCAGTTGGTCAGTGCTGACCATGGGCCAGCAGTGCCATATCTCTGCCAGAAGTGGCCCACATCTGCATCCTGTCTGGGTATTGTTACTGAATAATAAGCCTTAGCATGTAATAAGCCTGAGATTGTAAGGCTTTGACAAATTCAGACAGTGGTGGAAATGTACATGGGAGGTGTTCAAAGGCCAAATAGTCCCCAAAGAAAGCTTATTTTTGACATAAAATGCCTATATTTACATTGTAGTGATTAAGACCCCTGGTTCCTATTAGCACCACTGTAAAACCTTCTTCAGGGTACTGTAAAAGAAAGCATTAGCATTGTGAATGGTTGTGCACTGGGTCCCTTCAGCAGTGTGAAGGAGGCTATTCGATGGTAAGAGTGAACTACTAAACTTTAGTCAGCTATAATCATTTATCATGATAACTGATTACTTTTTATTGTTGAAAACATGCTGATGTTGTAGGTTAGCTTATACAGTGCTATCTGGCTAGCTCTAATCATTAGACTCATGTATAAGCTGTAGTGAAGGCCTCTGAATAACCTCTATGGCCTGTCTGTATGAAATGTTTTTCTTGTGCACTGAAAAAAGTTTTATTTATAGTTATTTATAGTAGTTATTATATATTATATATACATATATTTTCTTAGCAGTGTTGCGCTCCAATAAAATCTCTGGGTCTAACTTGGCCACCCCATTCTAAAATGAGCGCATTCAACGAATGCTAATTCAACTGATGTTAGCTTTCAGAGAAATAACCAAGGTGTCTGGGATTCCCTAATTAACCTCTTGGACGCTCTGAAAATCAAAATTCTGCGGGTCCCTGAAAATAAACTTATTATGAAATTATGCTGTCCATTAAGAGAAAAACAGACGCTCAAATACATATACAGGGTCATTGTTTAGCTGCTTCATCCACAGCGAGCGTCTGTCTTTTGTGTTCTTAACTAACAAAAGATGCAGCACTGGTCGGCCTCAAGGTGGTGCTGCAGCGAATTGATTCACCCAGTTGGTCCTTCATAGCCTAAACTGTAGCAACATCCAGGATTCCTCTGAAAAACTTTACAATACGCTGTAGCATATTTGTAAATCTCAAAAGTTCCCCAATTTCATTTGGTGGAAAGAGTAAATTCTTACTCATTTCTAAAACAGAAGACCAAAGAGTAGATGTGTAAGATCTCCATTAATGTGTTCATTTCTGTTACGAAACTAGAAAAAAGCATTTCCAAAAACAATTGTTATACCGAACGTTTTGGTGCCACGGAAGCTAGCGTCAGCACCGCTACGGTGAGTGAGTTAGCAGCCGGCCAACACTGGAGAAGCCAGCAAATATGGAACCCCCCGAATACCAGGGGGTATTTTGCACCCTGGAAATAACCACCAGTTCCTTTCTTTGTAGTGGTGCTGAAAAACAGTGCAGAAGATTCAGTGCACTCAAACAGTCACATAATGGAATGCAATAAATAGTGTACAACCGATGTACCCTAGGGGATAGTGAGGGACTACATATAATAAACTGCCTTATTTGGCTTGAAGATTCATACACAACCAGAGATCTTGTAGAGAGGAGAATCACTTCTCTGTAATGTCTTCCGGGTTTCTCAAACACTAGAGGGCGCTCCTGAGCAAGTCAAAAATGAATGGATTAAGATGGAGCATTTGAACGAAATCATAGTTTATAAATGCTTAAACGTTTTAATGTAAAAGAATAGATTTGTGTCCTGAACACAGAACAGCATAAAACATTTTAACACCGCTGTTATATTTTAAGAGCTTTTAAACTCGAGTTATAGGAGTTTAAAATGTACATCAGTACAATGAACTGCTCCGCTTGCCATCCGATCAGCACTCAGTAGCAGTAATGCTAATGTCCTGCTGCCCAAAACCCGTTTGCTGTACAAGAAGGAAACATACAGGTAAGTTTTCTTTGCTTTTTTAGTGAAATACATCCTTCTACTTTCTGAAATTAAAGGAAAGTTCTGAGCAAGTGATTAGAAAGTATTTTAACTTTTCGCTTTTAGCCGTTTAGCTCCATACACCCTGATTCATTGAAGACCCGCTCGCAGGTGCCATCTGCTGTTTTGCAGTCCTGTTTTTTGATATAAAGGGGGAAATAGGAAGTGGCCAGACTCCTCTTAAACTGGCTCTGACACAACTTCTTTGAGTAGGATTACTGAGCCCAGCTACGATGGCAGTGTCTCCATAGACCTGTATGAAGTATTGTCCGAAATTGTTTACTACCATTAACAGTGAGTGGACAGCACTGCTGTGTCTGATCCACTCGTACCAGCACAACACACACTAACACACCACCACCATGTCAGTGTCACTGCAGTGCTGAGAATGACCCACCACCCAAATAATACCTGCTCTGTGGTGGTCCTGTGGGGTCCTGACCACCGAAGAACAGAGTAACAAAGTATACAGAGAAACAGATGGACTACAGTCTGTAACTGTAGAACTACAAAGTGCACCTATATAGTAAGTGGAGCTGATAAAATGCACAATAAGTGTAGAAAGAAGGAGGTGGTCTTAAT